GTAGCCCTATTGTGCTTCTATATTCAGACACACTGGCAAAGTTCAGCTGTTTGATGAACAGCAATCAGTGAGGAAACCTGACTTATCTCTTCATTTCATAATTCTTACCTCTGTTTGAAGTCAGCATAGAGAACTCTGCTGGGGAAACCTTTTCTGCATATTCTGATGCCTTCCAGCACACCGTTACACCGCAGCTGGTGAAGTACCAGCTCATGCTCCATGGCACCTGACAATTCACAGCATAAATGAATAACAATACAGAGGGGAACAGCTGTATCAGGTGAAGTTCTCTTTCTGCTTGATCATCTTACCAGGTGTTTTTGTTTCATTTGGGATGATGCAACGGACAAAATGGGGGTGAGTGCTCCGTAGATTGGTCATCAGCTTGTTTAGGTTCTCCTGTGAGAGCAGGATTTAGTGTGTGTTTATATGAAATGTGGAAAAACTAACTCTTAGGTTCTTTGAACTTAGCATAAAGGGCTTATCAATGGAGATGTACTGGACTGAAAATTGTCAACTGATAATACCTCAATAAATGGATCAATCTCTTCTGATTCTGAAAATTGAACATCACTTTTTAGAGTAAGAAAAAAAAGTTGCCATCAACCCAATGAAAGATAGATGGTGGGTACTTCATAGTTTTATGAGAAAATTCATGTTTATTTTATGTGTAAGTTTAGGATTTCACAGTGTCATTTTTCATTCCGTAAGATTTATTTTTTTTTAATGAAGATCGAATGATAGCTGGTGGGTGTTTTTGTTTGTTTGTTGTTTTGTTCAGATTTTTTTTTTCCGTGGCTGTACCAGTTGAAAGACAAAGGTTCTACTTACCCGGAAAAGAGCTGAGACAGTCTGGAAAGAAGAACCCTTCTTCTTGCCGCCTTTCTTGCCACCACCACCACCACTAGCCTCTGATAAAGTGAAGATAATGAAATAGTTATGGCTTTGGGGACCATTCATGATTCCACAGTTTTGCAGAACCACTGTGCACCAAAGAGATGACATTTCAGCGAACTGACCTGCCTCTCCACCAGCAGAAGCAAAAAGTAGAGCGAGTGTCTTCACAGATGATTTCTGGTACAACCCAATGACAGTTTCATTCAGGGGGTCTTTGTTCTTCTCAAGCCAGCCAGAGATGTTGTAGTCCACTGTGCCAGCATAGTGCACCAGGGAGAAGTGGGCCTCAGCCTTGCCCTTTCCAGGCTTGGGCTTCTGGAAGTTGTTTGATTTGCCCAGATGCTGGTCATAGAGCTTGTTCTTGAAAGAGGTGTCAGTTGCCTTGGGGAACATGCACTCCTCTTCCAGGATGGAGAAGATGCCCATGGGCTGAGAGAAGCAGCAAAAAAACCCCAGTGATATAATACAGATGTGCCTTCAGAAGGAGACTGCAGTAAGGCACAGGAAACTGGGAAATTGATTAAATTTTCAGATAAAACATGGATCAAATCTTTGTTAAGTTTTTCACATGCAATTACAGACAAAATACGAATTTGTGTCTGAAACGAATGCATTTTGGATCTGATAGTGTCACAATAATGGCACAAACTTTTATAAACTATTTGGAAACTCTGACGATCCAAAAGGAGATTTTTATTTTTTTTTGCATACATGCTCTCCCAATGTATGTTGTGTAGATGAAGGTGTCTTACTAAAATTGACCTTTGTTCAACAGATCAGCAGATCTTTCAGTTAATTCCTGAAATCTTTTTTTTGATAATGTATGTGTTTTCATTCCTATGCAAGAGGATGTTACACAAATAAGTGTCAATCATAATACTGAAAATTGTCTGGGTTTCTGAAGAGAGATATTTCATAGTTTTAGATTAGAAAACACACCTACAGAGAATCCTTGATATCGAATTGTGTGTTCAAATTAGTTCTTCTATTGTCAACAACCAAACTTAGAGTTAATATTTTAAAAAATGGACAATGATGTAATTAATGAAAAAACTAAGGATACTTCATTTGTAGCCTAAGATTTTAGAAATTAATTTCTGAATACATATAACATTTGAAATGAAAAGGTACTTTTTGAATAAAAATAGCAAGGAACATAAATGGATAATAATAGGTAAGTTTATGAAGCATTAGGACAAGAAAAAATAAGGCCGAAGAAAAATTATAAAATTCTGTCACAAAGAAGAAACAACAAAATATTAAATGTAACCAACATACTTTTTCAATAAGCTCAATGCAGGCAGCCAGGTCCATCCCAAAGTCAATGAACTCCCATTCAATCCCTTCCTTCTTGTACTCCTCTTGCTCCAGCACGAACATGTGGTGGTTGAAGAACTGTTGCAGTTTCTCATTGGTGAAGTTGATGCACAGCTGCTCCAGGCTGTTGAACTTCACAGTGGAAAAAAAAGACAAGATTTACTCATTCTCAGGATGAAGAAATTGCCCATGTAGCTTTTTCCTATGCACTAGGAATCCCATTTAGTTTTAAATCAAATTCCAAAATTATCTGGTAGTCTTATCCCTCTCAAGGTGCAACCTACATCATTCTTTTCCCTCATATTATGTAAATTCCTCTGTTGCCCTTAAAAAAATATAAATTTAGACATTGTCAGTGTTTGCCAGTTCTGGTTTGAACTCAGGTACCTTCTCTAAATGCTGGTAGAACTTCCCAGTCTGCACTAAAGGAAGCCGGTGCATTCTTCCTGTTGGAATCACCCTATTCCGAAGTAAAGGATATATATGGCTTTCTTATTCCAAAACTTTGGCATAACTTTGCATGGGACTTCAGTCTACCTTTCTCTTCCTACATTTTGTGATGTTGTATCTTTAGTGTTTCTGTGGTATTTTGTCAGTGGATTTTTTTAATACTAAGCTTAAATTATTGTAAAGCTACAACATTTGTGTTAATTACGTAAAAGGCAGCTGCTTCTCCCTTGTGTATCATATAAAGCTATCACATGCAGATCCACTAAAGCTCATGGATTGTTCTGGAGAAAAAGCAGTGACATATAAAAGGAAGGAAAGCATTTCCAGAAAATAAAAAAATAAACTCTTTCAGAAAAAAATGAAATTACAAGTAAATGTAATATTTCTAAAAAAAACAACTCTCCATAATCCTTCAGTAGGGCTCTCTTGAGCCTAATTGCCTTTTTTACTACCATTTTACTACGATTTCTGTGGTACTTGCATCAAAGATCTCAAAGCCAGCGATGTCCAGGACACCAATGAAGTACTGTCTGGGCTGCTTGGTATCCAGCTGTTGGTTGATGCGAACAACCATCCACAGGAACATCTTCTCATAGACAGCCTTTGCCAGAGCACCCACTGAATTGTTCACCTAAATTAAAGAAGAATGTAGCAGAAGAAAAATAGCATCCAGGGCAAAAGAGTAAATCAAGAGAGAGGTTCCCAGTCTCAAGACGGTTGTTACCTGCTGCACAGTTTGACCCTTGGTCACATACTCATTCCCAACCTTGACTCGGGGGTAGCAGAGGGCCTTCAGCAGGTCAGCTGAGTTCAGACCCATCAAGTAGGCAGCCTTGTCAGCAACTATATGCAAAGGGAGAGGGACACAGTGACACAGAAGTGATCAATGACAATGGATGTCCTCTAAATGCAGAGCTGTAGGTTTCAGCACTGCGATTCTGTGACAGTTCAAAGTGAAATTTAGTAACATGAACATTATGGAAGGTGTGATTTATGCTTTTATGAAAATAAATTGGGGCAAGATACCTGAATGCCAGCTGCCAGCTATGTAACTGTTTCTGTTACTGGGAGTTCTAGGTTTTGTTAATACCTTCTGTGCCATCTGGCTCTGCCTGCTCCTCACGTTGCTTTTGCTTGAACTTCAAGTTCCCGTAGTGCATGACAGCCCCTGTCAGCTTGTAAATGGCTGTTTTCTCATCAGCAGTGAAGCCCAAGATGTCAATGGCACTCTGGCAACAGAATCAGTGAATTAAACCCCTGGGCCTTAAAACAGAACTTTCACCATACCAGTATGCTCTGTGTCACTTACATCAGTAGCCATCAGCTCCTCCTGGTCATTAATGCTGGCAACAGTGATTTCACCTTGACTCACAAATTGGTAGTCATATGGGTTGGTGGTAATGAGGAGCATGTCTGTACAGAGGCATAGGACATATCTGGGCATAGGAATGAAGATAAATATTAAACAAATTCAGATTCCATCAAACAATTTATAATACTTCCTACCAATTAGCTCTGGCTTCTTGTTGGACATGATCTGATAAAATATGTGGTAGCTTCTTTCTGCCTTGAGCTGGAAAGTGACTCTGGACTTCTCCAGCAGATCTGTCAAGGAAGGTAGGACAGAGTTAGCACAAGAACTGAGGAAGGCTGGAAGGAAAGAGATGAGGCCAGGAGGGTCACTTACATGTTTCAATGTCAGCAGAAGCCAGTTTCCCTGTGGCACCAAAATGGATTCTGATGAATTTACCCTTTAGAAGGCAAAGTAAAAAGGCATCCTGAAATTTCACTAAGACTATAAGTATGTAACTTTACATTCTCCACAGAGGAAAGGATTTAAACTTAGAAGTTGTTCTGATTTTTTTTTCTTATTTTTCCTAAGAGAAGCAAAACAGAACCAAAATAATTCAGGAAACATTCTGTACTGGTAATACTAAGGTAAAGATCTGTGCTGAGTTATTATTATTTAGTGGATAACCCTGAATACACAGGAACAACAAAACCAGTAAGCAAGCCTTTTATTAGGTCACTTATGCTTCAATTCAAACAGATGGATATAGAGAAAGTCAAGATGCAGTCACTTCGTTCTTTAAACAGATAGGATGCTATGAAGGTCATGTAAATGTTGAATGACTTTGTTCAAACTTTCAGAAAAACAGAAGGCAACTGAATTGTGGTGATAGGGGCAACACAGCCAGAACACACTTCAGACTGACACTGTGTGTATTGAGATTTCTCAAGGACATTCACAGCTTACCTAATAAAATTTATGAATGGGTTTTTTTGCATTAAAATGATCAAAATGACATGTCATAGATTAGTTGGTTTCTGATAGGATGTCTTGAAGACATCTTTCTCCCTATCCCTTTCCAGACCACTTGTTTATAAGCCTAAAGAGTCAGATTAATAGACTTGCCAAGTTCTGTGTCTAAAAAGAACGAATATTCACATTTTTGCTCATCTGATACAGGTAATTTCCATTCTGCCTGTCTTTTCCTCATTCTCTCCCTTCCTCACTTCCTTCTGCACTGTATCAATTTACACAAATTTGTATCTACAGTTTGTATGACAGATATCAAGATTGTGCGCCCTATAAACATTTATGAATCTAGAATAATACAGATATTTAAATGTGTTAAAGTGATCCCCCTTTGTAAATATTTGTTTTCTGTACTACACTTTTAAAGTTTTATTTTTAGATAGTCTAGTGAGATATATAGATAGATTATCAACTAGTCTAGTTGATAAAAATATGATGAAATATTAGCTCAATGAATACAATCATCCAACAATAACAGACGTCAGAAGTGACAGAAGTGACAGCTTCTGTTCTGACATCCTTGTTCACCTGTAAGTGTCAGCCTCTCTGATCAAAACTTACAAAGCGTGAGGAGTTGTCATTTCTCACGGTCTTGGCATTTCCAAAGGCCTCCAGCAGTGGATTGGCGCTGATGATTTGATCCTCAAGTGTTCCCTGCAGGATGACAATTATTCCTATTTAGAATTTCCAAAAATCATGTCAGGAACAGAGAAAAGTATTGATTCTAGCCAGTGTCTATTAATTTGCCTGCATTTTGCCAGACTGCTCTTCTTTCTTCTTATCCCCGCTCGCTGCAATTGTTGCAAAGTACTGGATGACACGTTTTGTGTTCACAGTCTTCCCTGCACCAGATTCTCCGCTGTGAAACCAAAGAGAGAAGCAGAGAACGTGTGGTCAGGCAGGAGATCCCCTGTCACCAGGCAGCCCTGCAGGGACGTGAGCAGAGAGTGTACGTACGTGATCAGGATTGACTGGTTCTCGCGATCTGTGAAAAAGGCAGGAACAAGTAGACTTTGTAAATGTAGAACACAAAAAGACTGAAAACTAATGCAGTAAATGTAAGTTATGACAAGAAAAATATCTGCATGCTATTTCTTTTGCATACTTATAGCAGTTTTTAAAAACTTCTTTCTTCTTATCCCCGCTCGCTGCAATTGTTGCAAAGTACTGGATGACACGTTTTGTGTTCACAGTCTTCCCTGCACCAGATTCTCCGCTGTGAAACCAAAGAGAGAAGCAGAGAACGTGTGGTCAGGCAGGAGATCCCCTGTCACCAGGCAGCCCTGCAGGGACGTGAGCAGAGAGTGTACGTACGTGATCAGGATTGACTGGTTCTCGCGATCTGTGAAAAAGGCAGGAACAAGTAGACTTTGTAAATGTAGAACACAAAAAGACTGAAAACTAATGCAGTAAATGTAAGTTATGACAAGAAAAATATCTGCATGCTATTTCTTTTGCATACTTATAGCAGTTTTTAAAAATTAAGTTCTTTGCAAATTAATGCTTTTTGATGAACTGTGAAAACCGTTGAAGGGACTTGTGATTCTTCCCAACTGCACTATTTTTGCTGGTGGTTTTCTCCTGAGTGCAGTAAATACTTTCTGGCTTTGCTGCTTTATTTTTCTACTGCACAGAATGTATTTAAAGCAGTGGTAGAGAAAGGGATAGGAAAACCCCACGGCAAAGGAATCCTGAGTATGGGTAATAGTTCTGAACCCAGTAGCACAGAGAAGCAAAAGAATGAAAAGGTGGAAGCAAAACTAGCAGCAATATATAATTCTATTTCACTTGTTCACGTCATGGTTTCATCAAGACAAATCAGAATATTGATGTTTCCTGTAGACCTTTGGTGAATTAACTTCATCTTTTTAGAGAAAATTTCCACATCACATATGGATTTCATATCCTGTTCACTTTCACTATTTCATTACAGACATAATTATATTCCTTACATCACGTACTCCAATTGACTTACCATTTTTCCCGACATGCTAACTATCTTTGGTAATATAGTTCCTTTTTAGGAATACTGATGTGAAAAATTCCTGTTTAAATTAGCAGTGATTAATACTATGACTGAAGTAAAACTCTAATAATGTGTTAAGAAAATACCTGCATATTTATCAGGGAAACTCTATGATTACTTTTGAAATGTCTTTTTCATGGAATCACTCTGAGTGTCACTCACCAGTCAGCATGAACTTCAAACAAACAAATGAACAAACTGAGTTTTGTGCAGGGGATTCTTTCATTAAGAATAGTAGAAACAATGGTGTGAAGATAGAAAAATGCACAATAGTATGTATGCAACAGAATCTCGAAAGCTTTGAAAGTCTCTTCATATTACTGACTCTGAATATCCCTCCAGAGAACTTCATGGCACAGTACTTCTGATACAGAGTCACTCACCAGTCAGCATGAACTGATA